GCACGTGCACACACACACACAGCATATGACCAACCACAACCTCATAGCCACCTACATGCACGCGTGCACGCACACACACTTTCCTTAGTATCTATCCTTAGAGAACCAAAGCAGAGGAGTGGGTTTCTCTTAACTGTGGGCAAGAGATGGACCCTGCCCATCTACAGCACCTGCTTTCTTCCTTCCTAAAGCAAAAAATAAGAGGCTTCTCCATAGTGTTGCTCTCACCTCCCACACAATGTGTCTAGATTTTAAAGCTTCCAACAATAAATCTGTAGCGTTGTTTTTTAAAACTTCAGCATCTCAGGGTTCTTATTTCTTGACTGAAAAACGGAGCAATTTTATTCATTCATTTTAAGGAGGATTTTCCTCTTTTCAGCTATAGTTTTATGGGGGTCAAAATATCCTTACCCTTTGAATATCATTATTGTTAAAATATCATTATCATCCCTTTGAATTTGGAGTTCACATACAAAATATTTATTGAAAAGTGGTGCTCACAGATTTGGTCTCCTGGGCCAGATTATTAGCATGGGGCTATTTCATGGGCCTGATCAGGCCCTGTGTACCAGGACTGGGTCCTGGGGCCCCATGCTGCCTCTGCCTGGCCAGAGCCTGATCCCAGCCAGTGAGGACAGCACAGGTCCCCAAGGTCTGACCCTGGTTCATAGGGGCTGGGCAGAGGTAGAAGCAGTGGGGCCCCAGGGTCCAATCCTGGCTAGGTAGAGGTAGCATCACCCCCCCCCAGACTTTGCCTCCTCTTTCCAGCTGCCAAAACCATGCCTACACACACTTCTATGGATGTTTCCTGCAACTTCCTCAGTTGGAATGCTTTGCACACATAGCCCTATGAATGTCCTAGGTTAAGAGGCACAGAAATGAAGTCAGGGCAGATCAATAGGATGAGGTTTTTGGAACCTGTGTTCCAGTTGTACCTTTTTGCCTCTTTGTCTAAGCACACACAGTTGCAAAGGCCTGGTTTCAGACTTGCACCAAAGGCTGGCTACCCATTTGACCTAGCAGGATACTTGGTCATTCAAGTTGGGAAGTCAAAGGAGGCTGGATGTGATGCTGGTCACATCATTCCCTGCCTATCATGAACTATAGAACTGAAGTGCCTTAATCATGCCAACCTAATAGACCAGTTGGCTCAGATAGACCTTTTACCTTTTTCCCCCTTTAAAGACAAACACAGATGCTCCTGCTCAGAGTTTAGTTCGAAGGGATAGGCAGTCTTGTTTTACCCAGGTCAATTTAAATGATAGAAGCAGAAAGGAAATAACTCCTTTCTGAAGAGTTATTTAGATCTGAAGAGTCAGTGTTAGAATTTAAGTCTTTTTACCCCACAAATGTAAGTAAATCATCTATTGTGTTGGTATATTTTTCTTCTTTAACCCAAGTGCTGCAGAAACCCAAATGAATCACGTCTGGAAATCTAATCTCAACTGTAAGTGCAAACTCTGAAAATAAATTATTTAGAGAGCCTTCTTGAAGAGGCCAGGAAGCCAAGACATCAGAAAGATATCTTGATTTCTGTAAACCAAGCACTGTGCTGGGCTTTCAAATACTCTCCAAGATAGGAAGTTAAGCTGGAAAATGTACTCAGGTTGCCTATAACTTGCAGTTTAACCATTCAAGTGTAATTTAAAGATGCTGTAAAGCAGTATTGGAGAGGTTAAATCTCCTTTACATCTTCAACTGCTCTACAGCTAAAATCATAGCCCACGCTTATATTTAAGGTCATTTTTCACCCCCCATTCAGACCTCTCATCTCATGAAAACAGGAGACATGTAAGAGAAAATTTAAAAAAAATGAGGAAATAGTTTTTGATATGCACAGTTCTTTAAATACTTCAAAAGAGTCTAATTTAAGACTTAAAAGTCAAGTAATAGAGCCTTTGAATTATACAGTGAGGTTAGATTTTGAAGAGAGCTTAGCATGTTCAAAACAGCTTTGTACATTGAATGCCAAACTACTTTTAAGATCTGGGTGTCACTGTCTCAGGGGGTCACTGAGTACTTTTGAAAATGAAAATCTGGCCCCAAATGTAAGTCCTGAGCACTTGGAAAAAAATCTCTCCCCAGTTGGTTTGGAAATCTGGTCTATAGTAGAAAGATGCCACTGGGAAATTGCACTCTTATTATGGATAGAATGAAACTCTCACTATTTAAGATTGTAACCCAACTTCCATTTTAATATTGTCTTATTCCATTTTATTAACTGCATTAATCATGTTTATTAGAGATGTGTTTAAAAAATCAACACAGAATAGGACCACATTCTGGCAGGCATTAAGTTTCATAGTCTCATAATCAGTTTCATAGTTGGTAGGGTCGGAAGGGACCTGACCAGATCATCAGGTCTGACCCCCTGCCATGGGCAGGAAAGAATGCTGGGGTCAAACGACCCCAGCAAGGTGATTATCTACGCTCCTTTTGAAGACCCCCAGGGTAGGAGAGAGCACCACCTCCCTTGCAAGTTGGTTCCAGATCCTAGCCACCCTGACTGTGAAGTAGTGCTTCCTGAGGTCTAGCCTGAACCTACTCTCAGTCAACTTATGGCCGTTATTCCTAGTTGTCCCCAGTAGTGCTTGGGCGAAAAAGGACTCTCCCGTTCCCTGCTGGTCCCCCTTGGTGAGTTTATAGATGTTCACCAGATCCCCTCTCAGCCTTCTCTTGTGGAGGCTGAAAAGGTTCAGGTCCCTTAGCCTCTCCTCATAGGGCCTGCCCTGCTG